TCTTCACGTTTGGCATCGATGCAGCTCGTTTAAAATTAGCCTCAAAAAATATTTAAAGATCTTTTGATCGCTGACTGAAGTTGCGTGAAATTATTCCACTATCTTATAACCGTTTGCGAGGACTGAAGGAAACCGAGCATTGCTACGAAGATGTACCTCATTCGAACTTCTTTGTGTTTTCAGCTTGCTCATATAATCTTTTTCCCATCGACGGAGTGCAGCTGAATCAACTTTATAAACAGCCGAGAATGAGCGTTTGAATTGTTGCGATCGATTAGTGTCGAGTAACGATGAACTATCAGTATCGACGACCTTAAAGAAATATAGCCTCATCAATTGGTAAATATCAATTGGTCGCATCCACCAAACAAAAACTGCTAACAATATCACATATTCGGGTAAAAAATTTTGAATTCAGATCTTGAATGACAGCTTTGACCACATTAAGTGAGAACAATTGGAGAATTCCTCAAACGACTTTAGGAATGAAGCGATTTGTGTTTCATGATTGAATGCAATCAGCACTCATTCTCACCTCTATTTTGACCAGCTTTGCTTTGCCTTTATGAAAAGCGGTTGATGTGGCGATACAGCCCAGGAATGAGGCCAAGAAGTGTAAAACCGTTCCAACAGCTTGCATATATACAGCCCAGCCGAAATATTGCTAAATTCACGGCGGTTAAATGATGCATCTCGTGAAAAATTACTTGACTTATCCGGAGGCGAAAAAATCGCCGCCACTGCAGTTCAAAAATTTCCGATAAAATTTGCATCAGGAACGGATAGTCGTCACAATATTGGACATTCGAAACCTGTGTCCCTTCGGTTGGGGAAAGAAATTTTCATCATTTGCAATGTTTACTGATAAAATATCGTTGGAGACGATCCACCAACGACATCACATTAACAGCGACCACAACCACTGCACTATGCAGCACCCAACTATTTCTTAGATCACAACAACTACTTTTCAACACAATAACACTTTAGATGCATGCTCGAAATATGGAATGCGATGTTTATGCAATATATCGCTCACCTGATAAACAGCATCATCTTCCTTGATGATATTGTTATCTTGATAGTTAGCCCAAATGTAGAACACGAGAAGACCAACGCTCGATAAAAATGCTGCAATTAATCGTTCAATCGATCAACTAGAAATACTTTCAGCAGTCATGCAATCGAGTGACTTTACCCTTTGAACGAAACTGTAAATTGCTATCACAGTTGCATTCGATTTTGACGAATCACAATGATGAGGCGAAAAAAAAGTGTATCGATGCTAAAGGAAAGATTCGGACTAATCAAGGTTTACGTGAATGCCGCTCACCAGCAATCGAAACAAGAACGGTCGACGCACAAATAAAAGTTCGATGACAAAATGCACAAATGCAAAGCAATAAAGCCATTCCAGCGGCCAGAATCGCCAGTCCCAGTGCCGCAAGTGCTGCGATTTTCCATGCTAAACGCAACAAACTCTGTAGGGTTTCATTGAAATTCATCATCGCTAATGAGCAGAATATTCATTGAATTTACGCGAATGTTAGTGATTACTAGGCGAGACCAGTGAATTTTGCTCAACATGTCTGCAAATCATAAAGTTTTATGATTGTATTGAGCAGTTTCTGCCTTGTTTTCAATAATCATATGCTGAGACAATGAGTAGCGTTTCCGTTAGCTGCAGAGGCATTGAATGATTTTATACTTATGAGGGAATCTAATTTGAACAAGGAACTCGTCAGAGTGCATAAGCAAGCATACGTAAAAAAAGATGTTGATTTGCATCATCCTGTAAACGATTTTCATCGTGGTTGTGATCGTACAAATCTTCGGTATCAATATAGTAATCGAATTTATAGACACAATTCAGTGATGGCAAGAAGAAGTGATCGAATGGGGTTACTTCTACATCCAACCTGAAATTTCTACTTTCTGTCAGTTCAACTTGAACAACTGTTGAGCAAATGTTAGTTGATGATGATTGCCGATTTAAAGTACGTTCTTCAACAGGATAAGATGGATTAGGTACTAGCGGAGAGGTTGTAAAATCGCTGAACAATGGGAATTTTTTAGAATCGATTATGTACTTACCTATAGAGTGTTTCATAATACTCTCTGGTTCTTCCATATTCATGTGAATAGTCACGTTTGCAATCGAGCCATAATCCATGATGATGCTCTGTTCGACCATTCTGAAACAACTCAGTTGATTTTTTGAAAATATTCACTTGTAATCGATTAAATTTAACTGATAGAAGATTAGTGAGAGGCTTAGCAAAATGATTTCCGGGCCAAAACAAACCTCCAAATAGACATACTGCCAACTTGGACTAATCAAAGCGATAAGACTGAGTGTGAAAGCAACTGCTTCGAAGGCAACGAAAATTGAAAGTGCTGTTTTTCGACTGCATTTACTTGGACCTTCGTCTTGTTCAGACATTATTCACAGCGCTGGCGATGATTTCATGATGAATGCTCACGATCGCAAANGCATACCTCAACTGTGTTCGAACGTTCAGTAATCCTTAAAATTGATTACATTACAGGAGTATTCTACATCAGTTAATTGCCGATTGCCCGCATCTTCAGGGAACGTTGAAAGACTTGAGGACAGTTTTAACGAGTGGAATGCATAATGGCGAACAAAGCTCCGACAGGAAAATGCAATTAATGGAATATGCAAATCGAACCAAACAGAGAAATTGATAAAGATCGATTTCGAAATGAAAATAAAAGAAAAGGGAAACGATCTGATGAGACCGAATAGATAATCGCGAGTTGTACTGCTTCTCTTGGTTGGTACGTAAAATTTGAAAATGCGTCCTTAAACGAGGGTCATCACAAAGCCGAAAACGGCAATTGCACATGAGTGAGTCAGATAGACCGGTTATGGAATTGTTCAGAAGGACGGCGTTGTTTATATCGATAACAATATTCAAACGATACACATGCACTGTAGACATGCATTTTCACATCACACAATTACATACTCTCACCGAAACTTGAGTGGTGTACTTGACCGCAGGTTGAATCAACATCATTGTTCATTAATCTGAATTACGGAGAAGTCAAAACATCGAATAAAGTCACCTCTTGGAATCTGGCTTAGATATAGGCTCACCGTTTGGTTTGGATTATTATCTCGTCTTAGGCCTACATGCGTAATTGGCACTCTATTCATGCGTAATTTCTATGGATTGCTCAAAACAAGCGGATAAGCAGTGTTCTGGTCAGTGTTATAAGAGCATAGCGCATGAATGTGAGACAGAATCAACACAGGAACATTGCCGCAACAATACAGTCAGGATGAGTCATTGATTTGCTTCCGCTGACAAAATTGATTTTCATGAGAGCGGTGGAAAAACTTGTTTCATAGGGGCAGATGGAACGCATAAAACAACTAGTATTTCGTGAAAATGCGATTATAACACTAGAAAAAAATTCTACATCAAAAAAAAAACGTGAACGATCAATATAGTGAAACATTCATTCAGATAATTAATACATGAAAAGTAAGTTTGTCTATTGCAGGAGGCACATTTTGATGTGATTGCGACATTTCATCGGATGAATATTCAAATACAAGCATTCCAGTGTCGTCACTCAAAGTGGCATTACAGCATGACTGTTACTGATCAATGCGGTTGGTTCTCTTGGCCATTTCTGAACAGATCGTCGTCAATAAAGTTCACAAACTCCAACTAAAGCAAATGAAATGGTTTCGAATAAGGCTGAGTATGCAATTCATGAACACTAATCGTTACAACTATTCAGTCATCTCTGACCTAAATTCACATCTGCGTTCATATCCCTCTGCATAAGTCAATGAGTGAGCAATGATCACGACAAATGCTGGTGGCTGGCTGGCATCGTTCAATGTTATTGTCGAACCAGAGCAGCTTAGATATACACAAGGAAGCAGGATACGGATGGATCAATGTATGAATGAACCATTGACCAATCAAAATTTTCATGATTTCGAAAGATCTCAGCGAATAATGGCATCATCTTTCGAAACGTGGCATGTACAAGTGCATATAAGGAGCACACAACCTGATGTATGGCACAGAATTGCTGTGGTATAGTCTTTCTGTCCGTTGAAAGGTAAGTCAGGCACTAACAGAATACAACGAGACAGACAATTGTTAGTGTTGGAGTTACGCAACGAAATCGTGAAGAGTCAGTCGATTGGTAACCGGTGACAACCACTACTATTTGTTGCGCACTACTCAAAGATATTATAAGAATGGTGGTTGATTGATTGTTTGAGATGGTCACTCTGTGCTGATGGTCATCTACGGGGACATGCATGAATTGGTAACGCATAACNCATAACGTTCACACAGCTGTCACTGATACAAGTTCATCAGTGAAATTAGTGAGTGTTCACGTTTGTGGTTCACACACTCTCGTATTCCATAACTTCGCTGAGATATTTGGTGGATGGTTATTCGTTTCTTCCTTGTTCACCCCTTTTCCTCGTCCCCCCCCCCACCCTGTTACAATGTATGACATCCTAGCGATAAATCAGAAGCAAATCAAGAAATTCATTCAGTAATCAATAAGTTTGCTAGTTTAGGGTGTCAAATTGTCGCCAATGTAACCAATCGAACAAGCGCTTTGAAAACAATTTTGAAACATTTTGTTTTGAATCTCATTGAACAGTTTTGAAAATTTTCGGACAAAATCAATTAGCAATGATTTTCCAACCTCCTCATTTCCCGCATGCCATCCTTGAATTTTGCCCAACAGGATCTCCTCTCATTCCACCCCTGCCCCTATCCCCATGACAGTTACCCGTTTAGATCATATACCATGAGCTATCCCTTGAAAACGCTCGTTTTTGATAAATTTTCTTCGTGAGTCACTCACTGAAGGGTAATTGCTGAATGACAGGTGGGAGGAGGAACAAGCCGCATTGAATTACGCTATCCAGAAGTGCCGTTTGAATGGATATCTTGGTCTACGATGAGATCATTTACAGTAATCGATAATTATTATTGGACACTGTGCCTGCACAAATGCTATCTACCTTTACGCAATTAACTCAGTTCACACTGCAAAGTCGACATTTGAATTTCAGAATGTCAATTCGATGAGAAGTTCAGAACAATTTCTGTTCAGATGCTACTCCTTCACGTCAAATCATGATTATTTTCGACACATTCTTACAATGCTTTACAAATTCGGATGGATGCACTGAATTGTAAAATTTTTAGCGGTAATTTCGTTTCCATAAAACGTGGAAGGGTTGCGTGAGAAACAGATCAGCGCTGGAACGAAAATGCTCAACTGTTATTATGTTGAGGGGAATGTTGTTGAGAAAAGCCGATTATTGCAGAGTCATTGCACAGAGTTAGGCAATGATCTGATTTGATTAGGTCATATTCTCATCATACAGGATTTGTTTACTGATTTGTTTACCAGTTCAGTGGTGAACAACAATAACAATAACAACCATAATAGTAAACACAATAATAATATACAATAGCAGATGTGCATGCAGATCGATGGCATAAAGAACTGCATATTTTAAGCAATCATCTGTATCTGATCTCATTGACAAACCCAGATCGTTTTATGACAAGCAGTTATAGCCCGACAAACACGTTCTTCCTTTAACAACCGAAGATTATTTCTAGTTTAATTTTTGAGTTGCTTTATTTCTGTCGAATGGCATACAAAGTAGCTAATAATGTATAGGAAATCATTATTTTGCAATGAATGATTTTAAGCAAATGAAATTAATTCACTTTAGCGAGCGGATGGATAGTCTCTAGTGAGGGTTACAATGTGAATTCGCGAGAAAGGATTTCAGACTTGAATGGAAGAAGTAACTGGTGGCCGTTTGAGGATTAAATAGCTCTCGAACTGGGCAACTACGCAAATAACTTGCATGAATGTTTTTGATTTGTTGGAACTTTTGAAAGTCCAAAAAGTCTCATAATTTTCTCCACTGCTCTCTATTACGATTATAGTGCAATAAGGAAAATTTCATTCCCTCAAAATGGCATTTGTCTGATGCAGTGACTCTTCGCTGCAAATCGATGCAAAATATTCACAAATACAATTTGAAGGTCATTTAAACAGCAGAATAATGTATCAATGAACTCAGAAGAGTCTATGTGGATTATCATGCCTGAGACGGACGCATACTTCAGATGGGTATTTGCTCTTTCTTATTTGACCAATTACCAAACCTTCCCAGCCCAAACAATTTCGAACCAATTCTGAACCCAATTAAATTGTGCATGCTGCTGACCATTACAGTAACCATCATCACGCAAGCCGAATTAAGGTCATTTGAATTATATCATAAAAATCTCCACAAGAAATATCGATTCGAAAGAATGAGCTGAATATTTTTAAGAGTGAAACCAAAATGAATAATACGAAAAAGTGATCAGGTATTTTAACTGATCATTTGCACTTTCTGGATTCCATTAATAACTCAAATGACCGTATACAAATGAGGAATTTCAAACATTTCGTGATGAGTGAATGTGTGTGTACGTGCATGTGAAGATGACATACTAGTCAGATAGAACAGTAGCATGACTGCAGTTCATCTACGTATCTG